CCCGCCACTCCTGCCGCTTCTTCTCCTCTCCCAGACCGCGTCAGTCGTCAGCGTCATCCGGATCCCCGCCAGGAGCTCGCGACCGAGCATTCCTGCCCGCCCGCCTGCGTTCTCTTCCGGATTCACGCCGGCGCGGCGGAGATTTCCGAGTCTTGTGAGTCTCGCTCGCCGGCAGGTAACTATTTCGGTCTTATTAATTAGCCGCCGTTGATCAGAGCCCAGGGGTGATGCGGAGGCTGCATTGGTAGGTAGAAAATTAGTTGAGGCATATGTTTTCTTCTGTATATGCGCACGCCCTCGAGACTCCACAACGGACTGGGATTCTGTGGGGTTATTTCTTTTGTTCATCCACTCCACCAGCGAACTGGATTTGCATCAGTGTTCTTGCTCATTCAATTCTTTCCTCATCATCAGTTTCAGTGAACTGGGTCAAAAAGAGATCTCTAGTTTCAGGTCCGCTTTTTCTTTGCACCCGGATGGCCCTTCCGGCTCTTGTTGATTGCTACAAATGCCGTATACATTTCAAGTTCATGGCATTGAACTTCTGTGGCGCATACATGCAGGAAAAATTCGGAACACAAGTACAAAGCAGAGACCCGGCTGGAGAGACCTCAGGGACCATCCACATCCATCTCGACTCCAAGCAACAAGAAGAAACACGAAAGCCAGTTGAAAGGTACCTTTCACTCAGATCTGACCCACCTCGTGACACTTCTGCTGTTAAGTGTTATGTTTACACACCTTATTCTCAGTGGATGCAACGAGCCAAGAAAAGCTCTGCTCCAAAATAGTCTTAATTAGCTCCAGAGCATGTGTCAAATGTGGATCCTGTCTTGCATTTTGTATGTAGCCGCTTGTCCTGTCTGCTTGAAATCTTGCGTGTAAAGGGGATCTTGCTTGCTTGCTTGCACGGTTGGAAAGCTGTAGGTTTCACAAGCAGGCACAATGTAGCCCTTGCCCATAGATAGGTTGTTTGTGATTGATGTATAGAATACTCAACGGTTGGTGGCATGTTGTGGGTTCTTGCCCATTTGCTCTTTCCCTTTAGATTCACTCAGGTTTCACTCATTTATTATCTGCTTCCTTTTTCATGAATGTAGTTGGTGTGTGTGTTGTGCTAGCTTGATCTTTCTAGGGTATGCTTTTTATGGACGGCGATTTACTGCAGGTTAGCACTGTCGATACACACACCACATCTGCTTGCTATTTTTGTGGGGGTATTGTTATTACAGAGTCGGCTGATCACCTTTCCTCTGTATGTATGAAAAATGGATTAATTCGGAAAGATGCTACTGTTAAAGAATTAAGGGTTGCACATGCATTGGGTAATGGCTTCAGATGTACTACAGAGAGGTAGTACTAATTAATTATGGTGTAATTTGGTTTGCTTTCGTAGCTGGTATATCAGAAAGTTTTTCTTGGAAATCATGTTTGCCAAGTACGGCAGTGCCGTGGGTCTGGTGCCTTGATGAATTTAGGCTGGTGGCGCTTTGGCAAATTTTCATAGCTGGTATACATCAGAAAGTTTTTCTTGGAAATCATGTTTGCCCCATATGGCAGTGCTGTGGGTATGGTGCCTTGATGAATTTAGGCTGGTGGTGATTTGGCAAATTTTCATATCTGGTACGTACATCAGAAAGTTTTTCTTGGAAATCATGTTTGCCCAGTATGGCAGTGCTGTGCGTCTGGTGCCTTGATGGATTTAGGCTGGTGGTGCTTTGGCAAATTTTCATAGCTGGTACATCAGAAAGTTTTTCTTGGAAATCATGTTTCCCCAGTACGGCAGTGCCATGGGTCTGGTGCCTTGATGAATTTAGGCTGGTGGTGCTTTGGCAAATTAATGGTTGCTTTTCATGGCTAGTGGTAGGTCAGGCATGTTAGTGCACCCCTCCATTTAGTGCAGTATTAGATGACACTCAACGCCGTAATCATATCGGTTGCTGGGGTACTTTTAGTATGCTTCAAGCTCTTGATGGCCAATAAAATGAGATTTGGTACATGCCATTGTATTGATCAGACTTTTGTTGCAGAGCTAGATCACAAGCATGGACAGGACAGCAAATGTGGTATTGGATATCGAGGGTCTGCCTCAACAACCTGATAAATGCTGCACTGGAAGTCCAAAGATGACTGTATGTCTTCTAGTTCATTCACATAATAAAAATGAGGAAACAGTAGTGTTTTGAAAGGGTCTTAACCTGCAATATTTTTCCTGCAGAGAGCCCTGTCACGTAAGGGTCCAAACCGTGTGGAGAGGAGGGGCGGTGAAGAGCAGGAGCCAGATGACTTGGGGAAAAAAGTTATCATTAAAGGTGACAAACTACAGTTTTTTTGTCTAGTTTTTAGGAACTATTTTGTACAATTTTCCATTTATTGGTTATACAATATACAACTACATACATCTCCTTTCGATCCTAGCCGCTTTTGCCCCATGCACATACATATTTTGAGCACTAACCTGAATCTAGACCAGATTTTTTTTTCGAAAATGTCCTAGTTTCTACAGTACCATTGTGAAGTGAGAAAGCTTTCTGAAATTCCTTTTGCAACTTCACAGTTAGCAATAACCACTGGTGCTTATATTTATTTGAACTGTCTTTACTGCAGTTGTGCCATCTCAGTTGGAGCAGATCAAGTTGCCGCTAGTGCACAACAAAACTTTGGTCACTGCACATTGCACTGCCACCGCACCTGTTCTGACTGACTCGGTTGAAGGAAGGACCAAGAGATTTAATCGACTCACGGCGTTTCATCCGCGGAGAATTCTTCTCTTCTTTGCAACTTTGTAAGTCACCCACCTTGTTGAGTTCTTCATTCTGTTATGCTGAAGCTTGTCTGCCCTGGTTTGATCTGAGCTTTTACACACACAGGCCGTATGTAAACTGGTTTACAATCACTGATGGCTGCTGCTCTCTAATCCATTTCCTTCTTCCTGACGTGTTTGTTAGGTCAAGCGTCGGGACGATGGTACTGATATACTTCACACTCGGCATCAGCGGCAAGGTGGAAGCCTAGTCTGAGTACATTGGTTGGGGGTGGTGCGGCGGTGTGGTGGTACATTCCATAGCTAGGACCAGCTTTCTTTCTTTTCAGTTTTTGCTTTGTTGGGGGGAGGTGAAGTGGTGTGGCATTATAGCGATGCAACAGCAATGGGGACGGACACCAACATTCAAAAAAAGGAATGGAGATGACAGTCATCTCGGCCATGCTGCTCGACCGAACGGTGTTCGTCATCACTGCCGCCCAATGTGGCGCTCCTTGGCCTCCTAGAAATTTTCTTCCGTTGTGTACGTATAAAGAAAGAAAGAATTTGTGACAGTGTGAGACTGACACAGAGTGCCGTTGGTGATGATGATGAGTGGGCGTTGTGTGGCGCGCACTGTGCTGAGATGAGATGGGCCTTTTTCTCCTCGTTCGTTCTTCCTTTGGGTGCTGGAGCCCTAGTCAGGCAGGCGGATGAGCCGTGTCAGTCCGATTCATTATTGCCCCTTTACGCGGCTTTTTGCTGACGCCGCAGCGGGTGGCACAGCTTTGGCGTCCCCGTTGCCCGGGCGTGGCAGGCAGTTAAGCCGCGCCCCCCGTTAAGTGCTCTCTTCTCTGGGAGGAAATTGCACGAACCACTTGTTGCACAAAACACCACATATTGGGGTAATTCGTTGCAGCTAGGTCTAATCCACCATTTGTATGTGTTGACATGATTTCTGACAAGTGAGTCCAGTTTGTAAGTGCATCGCAGCAAGAAAAACTTGCCGCATCAGCAGCCAACTAGAACTGTCAATATCTCACAATTCTTTGCTTCAATTGAGCTGGATTTTTCCCAGAATATTAGTGAGTACATGTATGATTTATTGTTTTTTTACATTTTTTGAAAATGTTAAATTTGAACGAGTCAACTAACATTGCAAACATCTCACAAACTGTGGTCCAAATGAGCTGCCTTTTTTCAAGAATAGTATTGCATACATGTGTGATTTACTGGAATTGTTCTGCATTTTTTTTGAAAATTTTGATTTTTGAGTAAAAAAGTTATGAGCCAATGTAAACTGCGGATATCTCGTTATAATGTGACCCAAACCAACTGAAACTTTCCAGATTCATTACTAGTTACAAATAGCTAATAGCACACCATAAACTTTCATGTGAAAAACATAAGATTGCTACACAAATATAAAATGATTAATAAATAGGCACAATATTCATAAAATAAAATCAGTAGCACCAAGATATGGCAGATATTGTTGTCGCCAGGCTTTAGCATCCAAGTGGCTGCCATAAAGTCATTATTGACATCATCAACTCTCACGTACCAAAATATTACCGCCATGAGATGTTACCATCCAGGCAGTTGACATGTGACCATTACCGACATCATCAAGTCGCACACACCAAAATATTACCGCCATGAGGTTTTAGCATCCAAATACTGGGCGGTTTTGCAATGTTAGTTGACTCGTTTAATATTTTTGTTTAAATTTAACATTTTCGTAAAATGCAAAAACAAACCAATAAATCATGTATGCACTCACTAATATTCTAGAAAAAAATCAGCTCAATTGGAGCAAGGATTGTGAGATATTGATAGTTCTAGTTGGCTACTGATGTGGCTGTTTTTTTGTCATGGATGCACTTACAAACTAAACCCACTTATCAGGAATCATGTCAACGCACCCAAATGGTGGATTAGACCTAGCTGCAACAAATTACCTCAAAATATGATGTTTTGTGCAACAAACCTGTAAAGTGAGTGTTTTGTGCAAAACTAGCACCAAAAGTAGGTGGTTTGTGCGTGTGCTCGCACCACGGCGACACCAGTCACGCCGCCACCTTTTCCTGTTGGCACTCTGTCGCCAGTCATCAAGCCGCGCCCTGCTCCATGAGTCTGCTCCGGTGGAGCAGCAGAGGCTGTAGCCATGTGGGGCAAGGAAGCTGGGTGTGCAAGTGCAATGCAATCGTGCAAGCGCACCGTCTGCTAGCTCTTCTTGCCCAACTCGAAATCGAGCTTGCGAGATCCGTTGAGGAATCTGATGGCCCCGCCGTGCCGGGTGCCGGACGGGCACAAGACCGTTCGAAAGCACCTGCCCGTGAACAAAATGATTGGCCAACGAACGATGCCGCAACCCCACTAGCATGCTGCAAGCTGGGTGCGGCCGGCGTTTCTTCTGCGTGCGCGCGACACCCCACCCTGCCTGGATGGAACCAACGAACAGCTAGCTCGGCATTTATTGCACGGGTGTAGGGGATACAGTGTTTTTTTAAATAAATCGTCAGCTTTATTAATTGCAAATAACAGTTACATCGTCCATAAGAAGAGGTACAATTTCATCCATGGATTCCTCAAAATATTCATTTGTCATGGAAATTTTCGCTAACCATGCTAGTTCATGAGCCACCTTATTTGCCTCCCTATTACAATGTTCAAACATAGTAAGAGAAAAATCACAGGCCAAAAAATAGCAATCATCAAAGACCGCCGCCGCCGCTCGCGCTGATTGTCCTCCATTCTTCATTGTGTTGATGACTTCAATATTGTCTGAGTTGACATCAAGGCGATTGCATCCCGCCCTCTGTGCAAGTAATAATCCAAACCTTAGGGCCAAAATTTCTGCTGTCAGAACATCTGCACACCAGTCAAACTTCCAATTTCCGTCGGCAATAAATCTTTCTTTATCATCTCTGAGAACAGCCCCAGCTGTACCACTAAGCCGATCATGATCAAACGAAGCATCCGTATTTAGCTTAACAAGTCCCATAGGAGGTTTGCTCCATCCTCCTTTTTTAATAGATGCATTCGGGGAATGGGCATTTACATAGTTTGTTGTTATTGCCCTAATCCCCATGGATGGTTGCTGTGCGTTTTGAGCCTTACCTTCATGAACCAGCCTACATCTATCCCATCATAAATACCAAGCGGTTATAGATATTAGTTCACGTACATTCTGAATTCCTAGAGTAGCTATTTCATTATCTGGCTTCATAAGTAAAAATTTAAAGATTGCTTCTCCTGCCTTATCAATAACACATGCTTCTTTAATCACCCCCCACAATCCCACTTTTTTCCAAACCTCTTTTGCCTTCTGACAGAGGAACAATACGTGTTTCGTGTCTTCCTGTTCATTTGTGCATGAGGGCCATATAGGCGAGACCTTCATGTGTCTATTGGCCAGTGTAACGCGACATGGGAGTGTACCATGTAACGTACGCTAAATAAAGATTTTTACCTTTGCCGGACAAGACAATTTCCAAATCTTCCCCCAAATAGGGTTGACATTGATTCTACCCATGCCGTTTATATACTGCAACTTCTTTCCATGTTGCTGGTTCCATTCCTCCAAATAGGCAGAGCGAATAGTGAACAAACCATTTTTCGTAAAACTCCACGCAATGAAGTCTTCCATGGTATGCATAGGAAGGGGAATGGCGAGGACTCTTTGAGCATCAATCGGCCACAAAGTTTGTCTCACCAAATCTTCGTCCCAACAATTCATAACTGGATCAATGAGATCAGCTACCTTTCACAAAAGTTGCCCTCTTCTAGGGGTGATAATTTTCCTATCCGTACCGTGGGGAATCCATGCATCTCTCCAAATATCAATTTTCTGACCATTTCCAACTCGCCAGATATAACCATTTTTCAGTGAGTTAACTCCCGCCAAAATGCTTTGCCAAGTAAAGGACGAACCTTTCTTTAAACTTGCACTCATCAAATCGCCATCAGGGAAGTACTTAGTCCTCAAGATAGTGGCACATAAAGACTCCGGTTTATCAATAAGACGCCATGCTTGTTTGGCTAACAAAGCCAAGTTGAAACAATGTATATCTCGAAAGCCCATGCCTCCTTGATTTTTTGGTACACACATCTTCCACCATGCCATCCAGTGCATTCTCTTCTGATTGTCCTCGTCACCCCACCAAAAATGCGACATCGCGTCAATGATTTCTTTACAATTTTTTTAGGAATTTTAAAGACGAACATAGCATAGGTAGGTATAGCTTGAACAACAGATTTGAGCAAAACTTCTTTCCCTCCAGATGATAACAGTTTTTCCTTCCATCCATTAATTCTCATAATAGCTCGGTCAATCAGGAAACTAAAACAGTCACTTTTATCCATACCCACATTGGTAGGCAAACCCAAATATTTATCATTTAGGGCTTCAGTCATAATATTCAGAATTGTACAAATTTGTGCCTTTTCTTCTACTTTTGTGTTTGGACTAAAAAATATGCTAGATTTTTCAACACTCACCATCTGTCCTGAGGCGGCACAGTAAGAATCCAAAACTGATTTCAACGCCTCCGCATTCATAGCATTTGCTCGCATACGTATCAAAGAGTCATCCACAAAGAGAAGATTGGAAATAGGTGGAGCATCTCTGCATACCTTTATGCCTGAAATACTTCCATTCTCCTCTGCTTTCGTTAAAAGGGCAGTAAGACCCTCCGTGCATAATAAAAATAAGTAGGGAGAGAGGGGTCTCCCTGCCTCAATCCTCTAGTGGGTTTAAAACTCTCAGTTTCCTCGGCATTAAAACGAACTCGATACTCCACAGAAGAAACACATTGCATAATTAAATTCACCCATTTCTTATCAAATCCCAATTTTAACATAACCTCCTTTAGTAACTAATCTCCCTAATGCGTACTATCTCCGTGCTGGTTTATTGGTTCTCTTAGGGTGTGTTTGGTTGTGGATCTAAGTGTAGTGGAACGGATTGGTTCCATTCCAGAGGAACGGGTCGGTTTCATTCTCGTGTTTGGTAGCAGGAAAAGAGTAGAACAGGTTGGTTCCGTTATGATGTTTGATTGGAGAGGTGGGATGAAACGACTTAGAAGAGTATTCGAAATTACGGCATGATTTCAATTGCATTTTCAAGACAAGCAGCATAAAACAATATATATATATATATAGACTGTACAACAGCAGTTCAATTAAAAATCAGAAATACTAACCCACTAATTTGAATAGCATACAGCAAGAAACTTCAATAAGAAACGTGAGGAGAGCAACCAACATC